TTCCTGCTTTTCATTCTGACGATTTTCCCCATCACTTTTATTCTGAAGTAACATAGCCTATGGCAGCATAATCAGATGGCTTCTGAGAGCATCCTGCAGCAGTGTCTTCACCATGTTCTTCCTACCGTGTTACCTCCAGATTCAAGTGGGATTTTATTGACAAATGTAACTTTTCTTTTCTCTTGCCTTTTTTTACTTTTAATTTTGAAACGGTTACAGATTCATAGGAAGTCACAAAAGTAGGCAGGGAATAATGATTAGCAAATTGTATATTCTCCTATTCATACTTAAAGACTAAAAATATTGAATAAAGGCCTGTGTTTCTTGCATTCTGTTCCCCTGTGGTAGCATCCTGTGTAACTGGTGCAAGAGCACAGCTGACAGTCTCACAATACACAGATCTCATTCAGATCTCACCAATTTTACGTGTACACATGTGTATCGGTGTGTCCGTGCACGTGTGTATGTGGGTATGTGTGCACAAGTGCATGTGTGTATTCTATGCAGCTGACTGCATGCGTGTGCACATGTGTGTACATTCGTATCCTCTGCAGCTTATCATGTGTAAATTTGTGTAATCGCCACCACAGTCAAGATCCAGAACTGCTCTGTTACCACAAATCTTACAAACGTGGATGCATGGCTTCATCGTATGGCTATGTGTAATAGTTGCACTATTTCATTTTGATGCACTTTTGGGGCCTGTGGATAAGTCCCTTGTCCTTCTGAGCCTGATTCATATCATCTATGAGATGGGATACTGACTCTAGCTGGGCCAGTTTCCTAGGAATTTGCGAATTTTGAACGGGAACTTTATCATTATTACCATGAAGAGAAGAAGAAGGATGATGTTCATTGATTGCCCGCCAAGTCCCGGCACTGTGCTGGGTAGTTAGTTCTTAGGGTGCCCACTCAAAAAGTGGTCATATCCCCAGGGGAGCAGCACGCCCCCAGGTTCAAAACTGGCTTTTAAAAGTGAAATTATGATCTTTGCCCTACAGCCGACTTTTCATTTGGAAATGTCACACTTACGATTTTTAAAAGGGCAGAGGACAGCATATGGTTTCTTAAATCCATCTGCTCTGTAATTCACAGTAAAAGGCATGTGTCCAAAAGAAAGTGTCACAAAACTGGGGTCAACGAGAGATCAATGAGTCACAGAAATGGGGGGGAAAGATGATTTAAAAAATATCTTGCTTCCTTCTGGAGCCGATGTTGTTTAAGTCTCTGGTAAATCACTTTATTAAAAATGATTAGTTGCTTCAGCTCCTTCCCTGACCCTAGGTGGCTCACAGAACAAGGTGATTTGCAGGAATGAGCGTGAAATGTGCTCTGCGCTGCACAGCCAGTCATGGCTGCCAAAACATTTGCTTGAGTTTGGAAGGGTTCCTTCTTCTCATGCCTTGGGTCCTTCTTGGTATTGAATGGGGAGGGAGACAGTCTCCTAGCCATCATCCAAGCAGGCCCCCCTCACTGTGCCACTAGGGGGTCCTTTCCTAACACCTCCAACGATGCCTGGCAGCCACTAAGCTCTGCTTTGTGCTTTGTTTTGTTTTAGTAAACCTGTTAAGAAACTATATATTCAGAAAAGAATGCCAGTGAGCCATCACAGCAAGCCTGGCAGCCACATCCAAATCATCTCTAGGAATGTGACGCATGTGTCAGACAATCCTATTTGAAGAATTTCCCAAACAATCAATGTCAGCAGCTGAGTTTTTTGAAGGGTTTAAGGAGTTGCAGGAAGGAGAGGGCAAGGTCAGGCCTCCTTCCTTCCCCTCCACTTACCTCGCTGTGTGTAACTGAGCAGGTAGTAGCTCAGCCTAGCAGGTCTGTGTCTGGTGCTCTGTGAGATGCCGGCTGTGCAGAGGCTGAGCCTAGAACCTGAATTTCCTGCCTGCCCTGAGTTGGAAGGTGTGGCCCTCAGTGTCTCTGGGCGTCGGCATTTGTGGCTGGGTTGTTTGTGCTGGGTTGGAGGTGGTGTGATGCCCACACTGTGTGAGGCGTCACCTGAACCGTCAGTGACACTGCATAACAACAGATGTGAACTTCTGAACTGCAGATCAGTTGAGTTAACTTCTGGGGAGAAAGTCCTTTCGGTTACGTAAAGTGTATGTATGGTTTTGTTTTAACTCATATTATCTTCTCCCAAATCACCAGAAAATGGTACCAACACAGATTAGCTAACGACATCGGCCACCTTGGTATAAGGAAGTGTTTGCCTTAAGAGAGGAAACATGAGCCGTCACAGGGTCTGCTGATGTGGACATGTCGTCCTCTTCTGGGAAAAACAGGAAACAGGACGGCGAGCCCGGGCATCAGCAGTGGGGCTCTATGAAACCCCAGCTACATTCTTTTGCTTCTCAGAAGCCCGTTAAAATGAATTAGTGAAACATCAGTCTGAAAGGCCATCGCCAATGTTAAAAATTAAGCCATGAAAGAGTTGACGCCCAGTGCATCTGAGAAGGCAGGGGAAGAACCAGACTTTATAGGAGATTGTTCTGTTCTTAATGCTGTTTATCACGAACTTTCGTCCTGAGTTTGATTTCAGAGGGCAGGTGGTTAGTTGCTATATGCCTCAGTGTTCTCATCTTAGCAGAGGATGACAGTGCAACTTCATGGATGTGCTGAGAATTACGGGATAATTCAGAAAGCTCTAAACGCTGGCTGGTGCTCAGGAAAAGGGAGCCGTAGGAAATCAGCGTTGTCAGCATCATTGCTGTCACTTTGGGCATATCTCTCACCCCCACAACCCCCACAAAGCCGGCATGGCTCTCAGGCACCTTCCTCAGTTACAGGCCCTGAGGATTTGCTTAGAGCTCAGCGAGGTCAGCCAGGAGGACCAGACCCAGACACGTGCGAGGGGAAATGCCACATCCTGGAGTCTGCCATTGGTGCACTTGTCAGATGAGAGATGCTTCCAGGGTGGAAGAAGCTCTCAAGGACTCTGTCTGGACTGAGCCATTGGTTCCCTTGGGAAACCAACTGCTCCAGGCAGAGTGTCTCTTGGCAAGTGCTCCTGGAGTTCCCACGTGTGACAGGCACCAGTCAAAACCTTTTGCAGATACCGATTCTGTGCTCAGGACACTAGGTGTTGCACAGGGTCACACAGATGTGGTGCTGGTAGTCTGGTCCTGCTTCCAAGACCACTGGGCATCTGCCTGTCCATTGTTTCCACCCTCGCTGTGACCACTTTGTCCTGCACATGAGGAAAAGGCTCCAAAGACAGTAACCGGCTTTGTCCCCAGCTGGTGAGTGGTGTGGGCTAGTCTGCTGCCATGTGCGCCCAGGCCGAGGTTTGAGTTTCTTAGGGCCTGCCACTCCCAGGGGAGGCCTGTGGCTCTCGAGTTTGTATTGTCAGGGAGCCCAGGGGCACCCCATCCACATCAGATCTTCTTTGTCAGCGTTGTGGGTGTGGCAGCTGCTTCTGCCACATCTTGTGGAGAATCCCTGAAGCCAGCCTCCCCACCAAACTGCAAAGCAGGGCTCAGTACTGTGGTGTCTGGGGACAGCCACTTGTTTCAGGGTTTGGCAATCCTGGAGCCCATTAAAGGGAGGAGCTAGTTTGCTTAGAGTCAGAAAGGCTTTCTTTGGGGAAGTTGTGGACTGGTGTTTATAGCACCACGTACTTTTCAAAACCGCACCTGCCCAGTAAGGGCTCTCAGGGGGACAGAGGGGACAAAAGGGGAGTCAAGATGGGCTAGGGTGAAGGAAATGAACCCAGACTCAAACTGGAGAGGTGTCTCCCCTCACCAGATCCTAGGTTCTTGTTTATTTTCTCAGTAAGAGGGTCGTGCTGCCTCTTGTCAAAAGACACCGGTGGTGCTTCCATGTGGGGTCAGGTGTTAACTGGGAGTTAAAGTCTGAGTGCGGGGAACCCTCAGATGACCATGCTCTCCCTCATCCTCCGGCAAGACGGCGCCCATCCTTTTCTCATCATCGGTGCCACCAGCATTTCGGTGAAATGCTCCATTGGTTCAGGATTCAAGCTTAGAATCCCACAGGTGCAAGGACAGCTTAGAATCCTGCAGGTGCAAGATCTTTCAATCTGCGCATCTCTTGAGAACTGCCTTTCCTTAGGCAGAAGAGCTGGGTGGTTTCAGAATAGTGACTTGGGGAGATGGATCCAAAAACCTCGTGTTGTTGGCCAGATGGTTTCTCACAGGCCAAGTGCGGAACTAGGGGTTTCTATGGGTGAAAGGCCAGCACATTCTCCACACGGATGCCCCAGGGTCCTGGTTGGGGGTGACAGGGATCCACCTCATCCAAGGTTCTCACGTAGATTAGGCACTGGGGAGGTGCAGACACGAGCCATGTGGACAGTGTGCTGGAATCCCGGTAGTATGAAGAGCAGAGCGGCTGCTCTGGTGTTAGGGACAGGGCTAGTGCACACCTGGTGGGGCAGACAACAGGTGTCTCTGGAGCTGCCCAGGAGAACTAGCAGTACAGAAGTGGCAGGAGCGCTCAAGCCACTGCGGGAGCCAGCTGAGCTGTCCTGTTCTCACCCTCCCCATTTGTCCTACCTGCTCCATCTGAAATCCTGTCCCATCCCAGGGTCCTGAATATTCAGAGACAAGGCAGCCTTCAAAAGGCTTTCTAGACGTTTTAGTCAGAAAGGACCTTGGAGATTATTTAGTTCAGCCTCTCTTTTCTAATAAAAAATAATACTAATTTTAACCTTATAACGTATATCTCTCACATAAGTGTGCCACACATCTGTTGAGTGTTTTTTTTTT